TCCCAAGTGCTGGGATTACAGATGTGCGCCACCACGCCCAGCTACTATTTTTTTTTTTTTTTTTTGGTCTTTTTGCAGACTGGCCTTGAATGCCCTGTATAGCCCAGGCTGGCCTCAAACTCACAATACAATCCTCCTGTCTCAGTCTCCCAAGTACTGGCATGCACCACCATGCCCAGTGACAGAATACTTTTCAAGAAAATAATGAACAACACTAATAATGATAAATTTACCATATCAGTTGCATAAAGCCTCAAATCATTCACTTATCTGAAGGGTAATTAGAAACATCTTAAAGCCAAAATAAAGTACAACAGCCGGGTGTGGTGGTGCACGCCTGTAATCCCAGCACTCGGGAGGCTGAGGCAGGAGGATCACTGTGAGTTCAAGGCCAGCCTGGGCTACAGAGTGAGCTCAAGGGCAACCTGAACTGCATAGTGAGACCCTGTCTCAAAAAGACAAAAAAAAAGTACAAGACTCACAGGGGGCAGATCACCTCCTTGGACTCCCCAGGATCCGACTTGTGGCACAATGACAGTATCCACAACTTAGATCTTACACTGAAAACAACAGATGACCAGAAGGTGATGTTTTAAAATATGGTATACAGCTACAGTTACAAAGTCACAGTTGAATGTTTTTTAAAACTGCTGTTAACTGCCAAGACACAAGTGATGATAGCTTGCATGCCATCACTACACCACATGTGTCACTGGGACTGTCCCTTGCCAAGGGCACAACTTGTCCACATAGCACCAACAGGACAGAGACACCACCAAGCATCAGTCCCAGCTCCGAAAAGCAAGCCACCCTGTGGGCACAGTGAGGTACGGGGTGTTCTACTGTGATTACTACAATGGCTCCAACACCGCACGGTCTTTTTAAAGCAATTTTACTCTTCAAACTTTCTGAGTTCAAGACTCCAAGATAAATTACACTATTTTGAAAAGGAGTTCAGGAAACCCATTATCACCTGGGACCCACTGGCTTCTGCTGAGCAGGCTTCCCTCTACAGCACGGGCATCCTGGGCCCCACGTAAAACACAGTAAACATAGGTTAGCAAAATTTAAAGATAGCCACATAAACGAAAAACTAGTAGGGTATCTGAGCTTGTTTGGGGGAAAGCAACACACCACTGTCTGGCTGGATGGAAGTAGCTGCCCAAGTGTAGTAACTAAGAAAACGTACATGTCCGTTGGTAAGGAGAAAGGCTATCTTCACAGGTGCACTCACATAGGGAGGCTGAGACAGCACTGTGATTATCAGCACCTTCCACTCACAAAGTTGCACTGGAGCCTGTGATGTGCACTTCTCACTGGCTTTGGACTGGGCTGTGTGCAGCAGGTGCAGAAGGCAGAATCAGCGCTGCCCTGCACTGCCTAACTCAGCTTCCCTGGTCCCCTCCAAGGTCAGTGCCCTCAAGACTTCACAACAAGCCTAACAAGTCACACAGCGTTACAAGTTTACAATCATGTGGGGTCACACACAGCCCAAGACCAAAGGTTGCACACACCTGTTTATATCAGCATCTAGAGTCTTACACACACACACACACACACACACACACACACGCGTGAAGAGGAGGTTCACAAGGCCCTCTGTCAAGAAGGAAACCTACTTCTGAGAAGAGGCCATCAGAGGACCGGTCACAAGACCCTCATTCCAGTCAGACCTGGTCTCTTTAGTCATCTGACTCGGGCCCAAGTGTTTTCATCTGATTGCTATAAAAATCAAATGGCATTCTCTCTTAGGGGAACTTCACTTTTTTAACTATACAAATACAGGTGTCCAAGGTATTTGTTAGTTGATTCTACAGTGATAGAAAACACAGTATCACTTTTTAAAGCAAATCTGTTTTCACAGAGCCCAAAAGGTCATTTCTAGTTCACAGCAAAATTACAGCTGGATGAGTGCACTCATAGCTAAGGTATTAAAATGAGATGATGTACAAAATGGGTTTGAATTTTGCATTTACCAAAGGACCAAAGTAACAGTGTTACAGGCAGATTCTAAACCTGGTAAATTTGGGAAGACAAAAAGCAAGGGCTCTCTTGTAACACAAAAGTGTAGACTAGAATAAGATTAGTTTGTCACAAAGGGGCCAAGGTAAAGAATACTGGACAAGTATAAATTTCCTTAACACAACTACAAGGAACAACCAACTACTAGCATCCTTAAACCACCAGTGATACGATGAAATGGTACTTGAAGAAAATTATCCTAGCAGTTGTGTGCAGGACGAGCTGATGCGAGGTGAGCGTCAGGAAGCCCACTTGGAAGCTTTCACGATAAGTTACACCAAGAAGGCTCCCCAGTGAGGTGGGAACTACGGACAGGGAAAGAGTAAGTCTGACAGCCACTGCAGCGCCAGCCGGACTTGGTGATAGGCTGGATTAGGGAAGTGGAAAAAGATTTTCAATGATTCCCAGGAGCTGGTCACAGATGGCTTACAGCATAACCACACCTGCAAAACACCAACAGCTCCTACACCGGCTTCCCCAGCCACATCTGACGCTGTTTAGCTCAGAATCCCAGACCTGCAGGGAGGCAATGCTCCACTTCAGAAGGCAGCAGCAAACCACCGCCCCACCAAGTTGACAGTGGGAAAACACCCCGCAACCAAAGGTTCCAGATTTGTCTCTTGTGGAAGAAACCTACTCTTCTCACTCCGGGGAATTTCCTCTCTCTCCACACAGTCGGGGAACAGAAATTTTCTTCTCTCTATCCTCCAAAGATTGTCCAAGCTCAGTTCTATACTGGATCTTTTCTGTCACATGTACACAAAACACAGATCCCACCATTGATTGTGATAGGTGTAACAATGCCAACGAATTTTATTTTTAAAGGATTCATTCTAAACTGGAACAAAGCCATGCTGATCACATTTAAAAAGCAAATTCGAGGGCTTATTTTCAATGAATCACAAAACATTAAAATATGGATAAAATCTGTTCCAGAATGCACTGCTACATAATGATTCTGCAGTTTTGCTGGACCTATTTTTTTCCCTGCAGTTTTAAAAACATGCTCCTGGAAAGTAGATATCAGATCAAAGGGCTCCCCTTGTCCAAAAACCATTTTACCACGCTATTTCCAATTTTATCAGAAGACTTATCAATAAAAACAGGCATTTAACCCAGATCGCGGTGCCTGCAATTCCTTCTAAAGAGGACCATGTACAAATTCAATTTGTTAACTCATGCTCATCCATGGAGGTCTGGTGAACAGCTCTTCAGCCTTCGATGGCACATCCTGTTCTCCAAAGACACCGATGAGCCCCATCTCCTTGAGAAACCTAGCGCACGCAGCCACGAAAGCGGGTCTAAAATGTCATGTTTACATTTTTCTCACACATGCAAGAAAAACACTGCCACAAAACACTCACATTGCCCCCGCTGAAAAACAGAAAGGCGCCTACCTTGCAGAGAGATTAAAATGTAACCTAGCAGGGCTGCCCTCGTGATAAATAAGAGCTCTCGGGGCCACGGTCCCTGCAGCCCTGGCAGCCCGCGTCCCGGGGGCGGGGATGCCCGCCCACGTCTGCGGAGGCCGAGCCCGGGTCCCCGGGGCGCCCCAGGACAGGTGCGGCCCCAGGTCGCTCGCCGCGCCTCGTCCCCCGGCGACGGCCGCCCCCGCGGGGAAGCCCCGCACCGCCCCCCAGGGCCCCGCCGCCGCTCACCGTGAAGGGGACGTCCCCGACGCTGCCCACCGAGTAGCAGTTGTCGCCGGGGTTGACAGCCCCGGTGAGGACCTGGTGCAGATGCATCTCCGAGCGCCGCGCCCCGGGACCCGCCCGCGCTCCCTCAGCGCCGCGCCCGCCCGCCGCCTGGCACACTGGGAA